ACATGGATTATGATGATGTTCATTTGCAGTGGCTATATGTCTCCAGAATATGCACTAAACGGCTTGTTTTCAGTAAAATCCGATGTTTTTAGCTTGGAGTAGTTGTACTCGAGATTATTAGTGGTAAAAGAAACACCGGTTATTATCAGAATCAACAAGCCTTTAGCCTTATCTCCTACGTAAGTTCCTTAAACCCACATCTTAATTCCTTTTGTTTTGAAAACTAATCTTGATGCCTGCATTTCTTTCAGGCCTGGGGTTTGTGGAAAGACAAAGCACCAATAGATTTACTGGATCAAGCATTAGCGGAGTCATGCAACTCGGTTGAAGTATTGAGATGTATGATTATTGGGCTCTTGTGCATACAAGAAGACCCTCCAGATCGGCCAACAATGATGGATGTTGTTCTAATGTTGGGGATGGATATCGAGAGCCTCCCGGATCCTAAAGAACCGGCTTTCGTTTAAAAAACACGAGTTGATAGTATGCAAACGTCTTCAAGTAAATCCGAGATCAATCAATTGACTATTACCGATGTAGAAGGGAGATAGATGAAGAACATAGCTTTTGTTGTTTTCTGAAGCTCTATACACACTCATGGTTGATTTGTCATTGAGTCTTTAATGAATAAAGTTACATGTCTAATTAATCTGTCTGCATAGATTGTGATGTATCTACATTATTATTTTAATCTGTTCTAAAATAAGTGTCCACTTTTAAAGATAAATTTCATTGTTTCATTTTATTCTTAATTATAAGATTAAAAAAAATCTCGTTTTATAATTAAGGATAAATTTATTCTTTTTATTAATTAAAAAACCATAATAATTATACAAAAAAGAAAGCATTCCAAATTGTTAATTAAGCGGGAAATTGACTCAAACACAGGGTCGTCCCTAAGCCGAGTGCCCATGAGAAAAAGTGGTCCCCTTTTTTCATATATACTACATGAATTATGATAGTAGTTTAAAAAATCAATTGTATAAAAGAGAGAGTTTCTTTTAGTATCTAATATGATCTAAAAAGAAATTAGTATTATATAAAGCATGGACGGATCCAGAATGTTTTTTAAATGATGACATCATTTGGCTATAAAAAACAAATATTGAGAAAAAAATTCAAACTGTGGCACTATTTGACTAAGAAAGTGACACTAACAGAATTCGAACTTCGGCATGAAGTGGAATAAAAGTCTTGCAAACTAGGGGTGGCAATGGTTCATGTTGGGTTAGGTTCAGATTCAACCCATTTATTAAACAGGTTGAAAATCTCAACCCAACACAACCCAACCCTTTTCATTAAATGGTTGAGATTTTTCAATCCAACTCAACCTGTTACCTAAATGAGTTGATAACGGTTTGAACTTTTTATGATTTTCTTAACCCAACATGTTAAATAAATTGATTGAACCTGAGTTGACCCATTTAATTTTTAAAACTACAAAAAAACCATCGATGATCCATCCGTAATTTGCAACGATTACCGATGGATTCCACTTCCGTCCGTGATTTACGATGGTTTTCAGACGGATTTAACAATTATAAAAAATTATATATCCATCGGTAATTCACCAGTGATTTGCCACGGATTATCAACAAATATTTAATATTTAGTATTTTATTTTTAAATTATTATATCCAATGAAAATTGTTGCAAATCACCGCCGGAAATGGAATCCGTTGGTAATTCGTCGCAAATCACCGACGGAGTTGTGATTCGTAAGTGATTTCCGACGGATTACCGATGGTTTATTTATTTACTTATTTTATTTTTTTTAATTCAATCCGTTGGTAATCCGTTACAAATTCGTCGACAATTACCGATGGATAAATTCCGTCAGTAATACTCAATTTTATAATAGTGTATAACTCAAACCGCTTATAAATAATTGATGATGAACCTAAGCCTAAATGATAATTCAATCCCTTTGGTGGTTAGCAATCAGATTAAAAACATAAAAGAAATCTTGTTACATACGCATATTAGATTTAAGGATTTTGGGTTAGCATCCGGTAGAAGTCAACAACGTATTCGTGTGTGGATCTACATTGATTTTTAAGTGCTTTGTCAGAACAATATAAGATCTAAAAGGTAAAATTCTAAACACTCTATGGTTTGTTTAGGTTTTGTTTTAAATGTCATTAGATCCAACTTAGGGACCGTTAACTAAACGCTTATCCGGTAAGTACTTATCAGGTAATTTTTCTCACCAGATGAACATGACAATGACCAAACACCAAATTACGCCAACTCGCTTTGTATGCCGATTTCTCCTCCGTTCCACAAAATTCTAGCACGGTTTTTCTCCGACGGCAAACTCCCACCCTTAAAAGGCTTGCTTTAAGGGGCCAAATCGGCTATCAAAGCTTAGAGCAAGTTTTATGGTAACTTTCTCCAAAACGAGAATTCCAACCTAAAATAATTTTAAGAGTTGATATAACCAGCCCCTTTATTTTTATTTTATTTCAATTCTGACCCAAAACAAAAATCCGCTATTTCATATAGAGGTGGACTTGGTATGGTACCAAGTTTTTTCCTTCAATACCATGCACCAACCAATTATAATTGGTATGTAATATATTATACTGTGTATCAATCAACTGTATTTGGTACCGACTTAATTGGAAGCAACTTTTCTCGGTTGGTACTAGTTTTGTATCAACTTCACGTTACGCATGAAAACTTGCCAATTTTATTCAAAATTTAAATAAATTTTGAATTTTGAGGTAACACATATGATGTTTAATGAGTTTTAATTGTAAGGAATAGAATTTGCAAACGTTCAAATGATCAAATAAAATAATTAAAGTTACAAGGTTTAATATCATATAGATAAAAATACAAAAGAACTAATAAAAGATAAATAAGTCGGTATCATGATACTACCATGGTTTGCAACTTTCAATCTCGTATACCAACCAAATTTGCATACTTGGTACGATACTACCAACCGACAATAAAATTTAATCAGTACAATTGGTACACATGTTGGTTGGTTTAGTTTGGTACAAAATTGTCACCCCTAATTTCTAATATTATTTTTTTTTCTTTTTTATTATACTTTTCGTAAATGACAAAGTTGGCCCCAATTCACACACTTCTTTATATTTTGGTCCAAAAAAATAACTCCATTTATTATTTATTTCCCTTTTCTTTCTTTCATAGTTATTTTGAATCAAACATTTGTGAATTTGATCTATAACTATATTTTGAATTCTTCAAAACCTGAGTATGAAATTATTTTCCAAACCAAATATAAGTACATAATAGATCATTGAAGCATTAATTGTTTGCAATCAAATTTAGATTACGAGATATGGTAAAATATGGGGGGAAAATATAAATGATGGCTTGTGTTATATTTTTACTTTGTGTTATAATTTTTGATGATATGGTTACACTAATGCCGTATAAGTTATCTTTAAAAAAATGTGACGTTAACCTTTGTTATTATCTCTTACACCCATATAACATCAATTATCTTTTAAATTACAATATATATTTTAATCATTTATAACTAATTAATAGGATGCGCCATGAAACCATTAGTAATAAAGGGTGAACCAAGAATTCTTATGGCATTTTCTCTGAAACAAATACTTTTCAAACAAATGGTTTATTGAGAAGATGGACTGGTTGATGCAGAAAATTCGTACATTACTTTTCCAAGTCCCTCGTTGACTGCAACTGCAAGTCTTTCCTTCAAGTTTGTCTGATTGTCATGCTGGGAATCAGCAAGGTTTAGCATTTGCAGAGCATTAATCAAACAAAACATGATTTTAGTCTCTTGTCAGCTCTTTTTCTGTTTGTTTTTCTTTTTCATTCCTTTTCTCTCATCTGGAGCTGATACTTTGGTTGTGAATCAATCTCTTTCTGGAGATCAAACACTTGTCTCTCGTGCTGGAATTTTTGAATTGGGYTTTTTTAAACCAGGTGAGTCTCTCAATTATTACATAGGCATCTGGTATAAMAACATSYCTTCCACCATAGTWTGGGTAGCAAATAGAGAAACACCCATCTCTGATAGATTCTCTTCAAAATTGAAAATCTTAGRTRGTAACTTGGTGCTCTTAGATGAGTCAAACACTCRAATTTGGTCTACAGATGTTATGATCTCTACTWCTTCAASTTCGGTGTCGGTACTTCTTCTTGATRATGGCAATTTAGTTTTGAGAAATGGKWCAAGTTCAAGTCCACCAATTTGGCAAAGTTTTGATCATCCAACCCATACCWTCTTGCCTGGTAGTAAGATTGGATACGACAAGCGGACACATAGARGGCAGGTTMTTACTTCATGGAAAAGTAGGGARGATCCTGCAGTGGGACTCTTYTCTTTWGAGATTGACCCAAATGTGTCGCAGTGGGTACTTAGRTGGAATAAATCTGTACAGTATTGGACTAGTGGACCTTGGRATGGTCRKATCTTTAGCTTARTACCTGAAATGAGGTTGAATTATATCTATAATTTCAGCTACATTAACAAYGAAAATGAGATTTACTTCACTTATTCTTTATATGATCCTTCARYTATTTCTAGATTTATTCTAGATGTCTCGGGGCAAMYTCAGCAGCWGRCATKGTTGGAAAGTCAGCAGCAGTGGAATTTGTTTTGGGCTCAACCTAGATCACGGTGTGAGATCTAYGCTGTATGTGGGGCTTTTGCTACTTGCGACRGGAATGTTATTCCATCTTGTACATGCTTGACTGCTTTCAAACCTAGATCAGAGAGTGACTGGAATCTGAGTGATTCCTCTGGTGGGTGTGTGAGAAAAACAAAGTTGGATTGTACAGTTAAGGCAGAAAAGTTGGGGTTCATAACAAGTTATGTCYCGCCCAWAWTTMTTTCCTTAWTTCYCGAGAATGGAATKGTGCTATYGGATGAATCAGTATGCAGAAGGTCTTGCTTGGATGACTGCAGTTGTGATGCATATAGTTTTATCAGTAAAAGATGTCGGCWGTGGAATRGTGAAAACTTRAGCAATATATCACTTGYGTTTGTTTCCGWCGATGCAAAWAGAAATAATGTTCCATTAAGCATCAAAGTTTCTTCTTCTGATCTTGCTACCAATCCTGCAAAAATCAATACCAAAGTGCTTGTAGCAGGTAATCTCAAGTTGTTTTAGTTGTGAATTCTTTTTCTTCKGGTATTCTTTACCCCTGCAGTCTGCAGAGTATACAATGATAGAGGGCCTTCAACCACCACTACTAAAAGCAAAAGAAAATCTTTCTTTTCCATCCCAGGAATTGTTTCAGGACTTTTCAGTCTTGTGTTTCTTTGCAGCATTGGCATTAGATTCTACAAAAAAAGGGTTAAAAGACAAGGTAACTGCTACAGTTTTAACGACATTCGATTCTAGGTGTAAACTTGTTAATCCAAATCAATATATTCTCTTACAACTTTTGAAACAAATATTACCTGTTGTGTTTTGTATGTAATTTTAGTTCATCCATGTGACCAAGTCAGGAAGAAGAGACAAGAACCGAGGAATTTTAGAACTTCAGTTTGGCGACAATGAAGCACATGTTAGATATCTGGTAGATCCAGGGGCATTGAG